TATGTAATTTGGTATCCAGTACAATGAAGGGAAATCCGTTACTTTATCTTTCCAAAGGAACACAGAACAGACAAATTATTGTTCATGATTTCCTCCTGTGTGAGTGTCGTGGGAGAATATATAAAGTTTCAAAGTGAATTGTCAATACCTAATTCCGTTACAAAGTAGTTAATGTAATGTAATTAATACTTAAAAAACAATATTGTTCGGAATTAAATTATCTTTGGAATAGTTCTTTGAGGATGAGTCAGTTGGTCCGTGATGGCTTTTTGTGAAGTCAAATTACCGTCTCTGTCCATTACCTCTCTTTTTCCAAGTGGCAGTTAATATTTCCCACCGTCCATCCCATCAAAATTATATGAACATTTCCTCAGTCTACAATCTTATCCAAAAACGGTGTGGGATTGACAGAAAATGGACACAAGTGACGGCCACTGAAAAAAGGTATTAATGTGTAGAGTTTGCGAATTCAGGCTTTTGCAAAACGATATCCGCAGTTTTTGTAATCACCCATTCTTCAATCTGGTCAATTTGCAGGGGCGGATCCAGCCATTTAAAAAAAGGGAGGGCTGTTCCAACCCAGGATAAACGGAGGGTTCCAACCATATGTCCCAATTCAAAAGCATTGATCGTCAAAAAAGGGGGGGGTCCAACCACCGGACCCACCCTACCCACTCCCCTGGATCCGCCACTGATTTGAATCCTAGAAAAAAATTCAAGGTGTAACAAAGGCAGGAGCACTAAGGAAAAGAATGAAAGGAAAGATGGCAAACACTATTGGAAATAGTAACAGAAAGTGACAAACTATATGTTCAAAGGCTGAATTCGATATCAACATCATGGGGAAATAAAATTTCAAAGGAAGAAAAAGAAATGGAAATGAAGACAGCTATATACCACAAAGCGCGAGAGAAACTAGAATAAAGAGACAAACAAAGAATGCCAGATGCGACAAGAATGTGTAATTTATACTTCTGTGAAACGAGGAGTTACAGAATAGCGGGAACTATGTTAAATCACCTTAACAAATCAATATTTGACAATATGGACAACTATATATATATATATATATATATGGCAAAACAAAATTAAATAGTGAAATAAACCAGCAAATACATAGGAAACAGAGACAACAGTGTTGGACAGGAAATGGACATCATAGAAATTTTCAACGACTGTTTAGAAGAGGGAGTTAGTGAAATTCTACAATGTTGCATTAGAATTAGGAGGTAACTGTATTGTATTTTAAGCTCCGACGGCAATACAATACAGTTACCTCCTAATTGGCCTCGGAGAATATCATTTCTCTTCGGTTGATAAATCATTGTATCAACCTCATCAAAAGTCAACAATTGTTTTATTATAAATTAATTTTTTTATCCGTCTCCAATTTCTAGTCTTTGCTTAAGATATTTAACTGCTCCTATTATACTAAATATATTATCTGCTTTGGTTTGGCATTTGCTAAACTTTTATAAGTTGAAATATTCAATAAGATTGATAAAAAAAAATAGACGAATAAAAATGAGAATGTGCATGCCGTAATAAACCTACGTTATTGACGTTGCCTAGGAAAAAAAAATATCTATAGGTACACGTAAGTTGTTCCAAATCTTATATTTAAAACCTCTCGTAAGTTTTCCCGCGGTGAATATACCCGCGTGTTATCAAAGAAGATTCCTTACGTTTTTAGCCAAACAGAAAAGAGAATTTCTATAGTCATATACTAATAAAATTCAACATCTGATAAAATAAGAAGATGTGGTATGATTGCCAATGAAAAAACTTTCCTTAGAGACCAAATGACGTAGAATGTAAGCAATTATAGGTCACCGTACGGCCTTTATCAATGAACAAAACCAATACCTGAATAGCAAGCTATAAAAGACCCCGAAATGACAAAGGTTAAACAATTCAAACGAGAAACTAACGGCTTGATTTATGTACAACACAAACGACAAACTACTGAATTACAGGCTCCTGTCTTGAAACAGGCACAGCATGTGGCTGGGTTAAACATGTTTGTGCGCGCCAACTCTCCCATAACATGGACAGAGGTGTAACAGCACACCATAAAAACAAAGTATAAAAATCAATATGTTTTGGATATTTTTTACCAGCCAAAAAATGAAATAATTAAAATTGGTCTTTACTCGAAATGTAGAGTCTACGTGTTGATATCTTTAAACTATTCATACATTTCCACTTTGACTGTTTACAAAACATTGAATTTATCGAAATACTAAGGATTGTCTACTCAGGAATAGATTACCTTAGCTTTATTTAGCAAAACCGGTTGGGAATTTTGGGTTCTCAATGCTCCTCATCTTCGAACTTTTTTGGCCTTAATAACATTTTCCATTTGAACGACACTGATGAGTCTTTTGTAGACGAAACGCGCGTCTGGCTTTTATCCTGGTCTCTATGACGTGATCGCAACCCAAAGAATATAGTTCGTTTATTTAATTGTATAGGTAATTAAAGGTAACGTAATTCAATGTTAAACTATAACTTTAGTTTTAGCCTTTTTCTTAAATGTTGTCATTTCTCACAGCAAGTTTCAGCTATTTATACAACAAAGAATAAGTATAAAGAGAGAAAATAGAACAGTGAGGGTCAGTTCCGAGTACAAAATGAACTTAGTTCAGAGAACTCGTATGTTTACTGCTGGACTGTGCTAGATTAACTATAGGGACTTTGTTTTTTTTTAAGTTTAGTGTTCAAGATGTAAACCCCAAGTGCTGAAAATTAGCGCTGAAGACGTTCTGTCTAGCACAGCAGATATAAAGGCTTGCGCTGAATATGGTTTTGATTCTGTCGACGCTGATGCATATAAAATCAGGATTTATACTCTAGCTCTTAAAAATGTATATTCCAGCGTTGGAGATCGATTTATTTTCGTACATAAAGAGATGTTGATAATTATTACAATTTATTATTTATACATTTCCACAGACACGTACAGTGTTGCAAGTTTCCGTTTTAATCATGAATATGTAAACGCGTAGAGGAAATATATATTTTTAAGGTTTATAGATATAGAATCGTAATATACTTGTAGGGAAGCAGATAATAGTCAGCTTTGAATGTATTTGCTGCTTAAGGTGTAGTGTTTAAAGAGGCATTAGATACGAGATGTAATCAAAAATAAAAGAGGATTTTTATAGTTCAATTATTAATGAAAGTGAAATAGCGAAATAACAATTCGCTTCTAACAGCCAGTTTGGTTCATTTTTGTCAAAATAAGCTAAGAAACCGGCATTGCTGATGAATTATTCCCTTGCAAGTGAATAATTTGACCTCATTGAATCCGTATTCATGTGACCTTCAATTTAACTCCTTCGCTGGAGATGGTTTACGCATGTATTCAGCTTTTAAAAGGAAAAGAATGTCAATATTGAAAGTGAAACAAGGATGAACCATTTGGTTGACTGATTTGATCCACAGAAAAATCATTCTTATACAGGTAAAAACGATGATAAACATACTTTTTAACCTACAATATGAAACCAAACAGACCTAGAAAAATCCAATTGCACGCGGTCGCTATCTATTTATATTTATGTTTATGTTTAAATCGGGTTAAATGACCGTCGACAGTCTTCAGAGGTCATCTCGATGGTTAATTAGATGACGTCTAGACAAAAATACACACACAATATTATCGAGTTCATGCATTGTTAATTTTTTTTTTATATAAGTTTTTGGATATAAGTTTTAGTATGTTATTAATCAAATATGAGAATTTGAGTCAAATCAGTGAACATGAAATCGACAGCTAATGTCCCTTTAAAAAACAACAAGCATTCTCAATCATAATTCCTGTACAGGAAGTAAGCCGATGAACAGTCAATTAATTAATCAATCAATATCAATATGGGCTTTGTAGGTAACGTTGATGACATTTGGCTCACAACAAGGTACACGTGCATTAGAAACAATTTAAAGCTGCATATAGAACCCCCTCCCCCTAGAAAAACCCAACACTAACCAGGATAGATTAAACGTCCACAGTCCGACCAAATGGGTATTTATACATGATTCAAAGATAAACGTCACGCCCACTTTTACCTCAAAGGAAAAGGACAAAAAGTAATTACTAAACGTAATTTCCAAAATCATAACTCATTGGAAAAAATCTCGTTAACTGCACTATCTTTGCTTGTTACGCTCCAAACAACAGAAGTCCAAAATCTAAACAAAAACGACAAACATCAAAAGCTAACAAAAATTACCGTGATATAAAAAAATAAGGAGATGAGGTCCCAATACAAACAAACAACTAACCTCGTTTCAGAGTTCACTCGTCTAAACGTACAAACACAATTGTAGAATACAAAGCAATCCTCTAGTCAAGCGCCGCCTTTACCCAAAAAAAAAACCGAGATTAAACAAGGAATCTTTAAATTTAGAAACATCTGTCTAAAGAATTTTCTTTTATTAATTTAGAAGCAAATATAACGGTTCAACAAGTTTTTGTGCTTTTCTGTTCAAGTTGAACATGTCAAAAATCAACCTTTTATTATTCTTAACCTTTATATAAATTAATGTACCATTTATAGTATACGTATACTCGCTAGAAGTTAACAAGCAAACACTAAACGTCGTTACATTTATTGAAAATTACTTATTGGCAAGCAATGAAAATCAAGTATTTATAACTCGTTCGAATGACCTAGGTGACAATTATGAATAATAGATAATGTTTAACGTTATCTGTACCTTCCTGCATGTTGATAACACCTGGAGAATAACCCATTATCAAGATAACAATGTAAAACATGGCTTTAGGTTAAACATAAATCTAGAGCATCTCGCTGAAGGTGTAAGTCTCTTATCAGACGTCCATCGACCTTCATATTTCATTGCCTTGTCAATATACTTACACTTTAAAATTCAAATATTAAAAGTATGTCACGAATCTAGATAGATTTGGCCAATAATCAAAATATATTGACAGTTTTCTCGTCTTACAGTATGTAATTAGAGTTGCAGTGATTGCCTACAGTTGATTTGTGAACTGTCTGTAGGATAATACAACTAAAAAATAAGGAGGAGTTAACCGCGTGCTTATATGAATATTACATAGGACAAATTTAATATTATGAACATTGAGGATTGACTTATGTATTGTTATTCAATAGAGCACGCCTGATTGCAATTTCTAATTTATAAGTAATTTCCTATGTATATTAAAATTTTCGTGGTGATGTTGACTATTTGGACGGGTGGAAAATAATTTCCAATCCTGTCGCCCACCTGTTAGATACTTGCATACTTAAAGGAATCACCCGTCTTCAGATTTGTGATTTTACAACAGATTACGGATGTATGTTATATTTGTCTGGATGTAGAAAAGTGAGAATGCAGTGGAGTTTACATGAAATATTAACCTTCACAGCAACTGTAATTGTGTCTCTAAATTTGATTGAAAGTTCAAAATTGGTAAGTTTTTTTTCTCTAGATTTAACTGGTAATTATTGTTATAAACGTAATGAAATATATTTGAAGTAACATAAAATATATAATTTTAAGTGTGCATCGCATACTTGAAGAACGAACTCTCAGTACAGATTAACCGACATTCTATAATTTAGTGTTTATTAATTAGGTGTTTTTTTCCTGGTTATCACCAGGAAACTATGAATCTTAATCTATAATTAATTATGTAGAAGGCAATCTTTGATACCTATAATTATTTCATTGAAGGATAGTGTTTATTGGTAATGTGATGGTATAATTGTATTTGCTATTTTGGAATAGTTCGTGACTTCCGAATACATTTCCAGTCAAAAACTCATTAACAGGTGCTGTTTCTGAATATGTTAGGTGTCATTAGTTCAAACGAATGAAAAATAACGCTCAACCTGTAGACATTTCTCATTAATCATTAAAAAATAGGAAAAATATGAAGCATTACTTCAACTATCAGGAAGTATATATAATTTGCGATAATCGTAACTGTTTTAATAACACCACGACTATAGAGAATGTGCGTAAACTATTTTTAGAAAACATCTTGCGCGTGTTCTGTTTTTTTTCTTATATCTGCAGAAATTATACTAATTATCTTGTTTACTTACTTAGTCTATAATTACTACTACTATGTTTTTACGTAAAACTGATAGGGAGCTCTACACACTTCCTGTCTAACCTTCACACAGTGTCACGGGTTTTAGCAACTTTCTACTTCAATTTTAACGAAGCATATTTCCCCCAAAACCATTTTAAGTGTATTGCCGATGGAATTGATCAGGCAAAAAGGAAGTACCACCAAGTCTGTTTTATTTTCAGTTGAACGAATATCAAAATACATAACATCAATTGATTAAAAGAAATTACACTAAATCATAAAAATGATTATTGATAAAATATCTGGTGGAATGAAATTTCTCTTTGATATGTTTTTTTTACCAACTATTATTTCTTTTTAGCAGACGTCATTAATAGTACGTGCGCGTAAACTCATTTCTCAAAGTAGTATTCCATTGATGAAAGTCCTCAATGACCCTTTCCCTCGCTCAAGGATTTAATTTACGTTTCAATTCAAATCAATTTCAATTTTAGTGAAATGGTTTTTACGTCGGAGACATCTGAATAGAGAAACAGCTCAATGAATAATTTCGAAGTACATTTTAAAAACTATTTGTATGCAAATGACTATGAGTGGAATGTTTCTTTTCTTTAGAAATTTATGAATTTTGAATTTAATTACAACAGAACACACAGAAATTCTTAGACTATTTAAAAAAAATATGAGAATTAGAGAAGATTTTCCTAATAGCATCTGTTTTTTTCACTCAGTATATTCCAAACTAAGGTTAACGGAATAAAAAAAAAATATGCTAGTCGATATATGATGTTTTATAGTTGTGTTCATAATTATACATTTATTTGATTAAATGTTTCAGTTGTTCAGTTCAACTAAATAATGGTGTTTAACACCTTTTCCATAAAAACTAAATACTTTTTGAAAAATAGGATTTCTTTCCAGTTAGCCCAAAAAAAAAATAAAATAAATGAAAACAACACGTTATAAATTTTCAGCGTGGAGGTGTAGTTTGCGTTCCTAGATTTACCTTCACCAAGGAACGCTCAAAGCCGAATATTTGAAAACTAAGGTTGTATAAGAACCAAAGTTGATATTCACTGCAAGTTTTTTTACTGACTTTTTTTTGTATTTAACAGACAAAAAAGCAATGTAAAGTGAAGCACGGAAAATCCTCCGTATCAAAATATGTATTCATATATATAAAATGGTAATCTTGATAATTTTTCGTTTCTCATTATTGACCAACATTTAGCCAGACATCTACGCATAGATTTTTAGGATGTTACCTATAAGCAATGTTTTACTAAGCACATATTTTGCATATAAAGTCCTGTTGAGTAAAGCTGTAGTCCACGCCTTGCGAGGTCTCTTTACCTAATTGTTTAACTCTTTTATCTTAGTTCTAGACTCTTTCAAGTAAGACTTAATTGGAAAGTTGGTTAAATGTTTTGTTAGTTGATCCATCAAATAAAATTATAAAACGACTACAGATTCGGTAATGCTGCACCTCTAAAGAAACGATCTTCTGTAACATCTACGGACGAAATTTCATAGATTCATAACACCTAATGATTTTGAAATCAAGGGACAAAAAAAACCAAACAATTTGACATGTAACGCTAGCCTATCTTTTCTGTCGAGACACATATTCATATCAATGCATCAAGAAATGTACATGAGGTAGAATATTCTTGCCTTTCCAGAGGACCTGATATTTTTCCGGTTTTGATACGAGTTCATTTGCTTTAATTTAAGTGTTAGCTGTATCTGTATCCGTATATTGTGTGACTGTGCACCGCAGTCATTATGTTTGTATAGTCGCGCTCGTATATTGATTCCAGACAAACTCCTTAACATATATAGTTCTCGATAAATGGCTTATCTCCATGGCTGATTTTGGGTGTTGGTAATCGTGTCACTGGAGGTAAACACTTTTCTGAGAGGTAAACTGGTAAAATAGGGTTTGATACTTAATCAACGACAGTGTTTTATCGTTACAAACATTCAAAATAAAATTTGCCATGAGCCATATCTGTAGCTTAAATACATGCAAGTAATGTTGATGTGTTGGATGTATAAATACGCAGCCACGTGTGGTCGGACGCGGCCCAAATCTATGAAAGTTCCATATGTGGCCTATTAAAAGTCAAAATTTCTAATCCTATCAATTATGCCCTTATTTTGCGTTGACAGTCGGAATTCGTGGTCGACCCAATTTTTTACATGATGTGATGAAAATTTTTTAAAGTTTGTGCTCTAACATGTATCATTCCATTGCACCAGGAAAACTGTCTCGCTAAAACAATTACATGTAGAGTAAAACTAATAACTGTCTTCTTATAAATAAAAATAATATAGTAAAACTTTTTGTAGTTGATTGTACACTCAATTATTTATGCATATTTGACATTTGAAACTTTGGCGATAAAGATTATTTATGAAAATTTCTCGAGTTCACATATAAATTAGTTTTTAACTTTAATGTGAATGTAACCACCTGATCGGTTTCTTGATAGCGTGCTCGCTTCGAGTGCTCGAGGACATTATTTCCATCCCTGGTCGGATCAAATCAAAGACTGAATATGATAGAATTGAGAATGAAAACGGGGAATGTGTCAAAGAGACAGTAACCCGACCAAAGAGCAGAAAACAGCTTAAGTCCACCATTCTTCATCATATGAAAATCAAACATCAAAGAGATATCAAGAATCATAATCCAAAGGTCAAACATCATGGCAAAACACAAAATGAAGGGGAAAACGGACCATATGAATAAATGAAGTTGTGAAATATTGAAACAGTCCACATAACATTAAAAATAAGCTTAAGGATATACTTAGGTGAAATTAAAAAAAATTAGAATTTTAAATTGATACTATAAGTCAGAAGAGCATTAGTTAAGGAACAAAATAAGCTAAAAATATTGATAGGTAATGGAACTCCTTTTTGAGCTATTTGATTTTTAAAAAATGGCGGAAAAAGGCTGACTCAGACTTTTACCTTATATTTAGCATTGGCATTGATAGGGTCTCAAATCGTAAGAAAAAAATCTAGAATCTGCATAAAATTACGGTAATGACCTTTTTATGAGCTATTGAAGTCTTCTGTAAAAAGAAAAGCGGGTGTTATGGGGCAAAATATTTTACCCTGTATGGCGTAGGAAAAACCCCAGAGTCCGAACATCTGACAAACATTCCTAAACCTGACCCAAGTACATCATTAAGACAGGGAAGGGGTGTCAAACATCTTATAAGAGTCAATACTTCAACAGAATATAACTTCTTCAGGTTAAAAAAAATGCGACCAACAAACTGTTTATAGTCAGGTAAATTGTGATTGATTTTTGTAGTTAACCCTCTAACCGATATTTTTGGCATTTTGACGGGTTGTTGCATTACTGCTCATTTTCTGTAAACTAATTTGATGCAGATTATTTAGTAAGGCATACATCCTTCTTGTAGTGCATACTCAAAATTACACAAACACGACAGGCAGCAGTGTCTATGACCGATTTACTGCTTTGTTCGGCATACTAGTAATGTCAAGACATCGTTACGAGACAATTAAATCAACAATCAAAATTTGCATGTATACTATAGTATCTATGTCCACCTACTACGACCTTTTGGCGTCTATCTGTAAAACTACAGAAAATAGAACAAGGAAAATGAAAATACGTTAAGTACCATGTTACAACTTTTATAACTGCTGGTATCCACAAGTGTTGGCTTCCAATTTAATTGGGAACATTAAATCTAAGATGTGTTTGTTGCAAGTTTAAACAAGTACAACAATTATTTTGAGCGATTTGTAGTTCACCTGAAAAAAAAACTCTATGGTGGCCGGTTAAGGCCATTTTGCATTTTTCGCGATTTCATGCTTTACAGATCACCGCCGGTTTTTGATAAGGTTCGTGTTGCTCAGTCTTTTATGTTGTGTTTTTATACTGTTGTTAGTCTTTTGGTTTTTTTCGTTTTTACCATGGAGTTGTCAGTTTATTTCGATTTATGCGTTTGAATGTTCCTTTAGTATCCTTCGCCTCTCTTTTTTTAAATTCAAATTTTATGTTTTCACCAATGCAGGTATATATATATATATAAACATCCTTGGTTTTCACATTTTTCGATACGTTCCTGTTGAAGGTAAATCCTGAAAAGAACTTTGGTCGTACTGAATTTATAAAATGCTATTTGTATTCATTGTCATATTGATGTAAGGTCATAAAACACACATATTATACAATGCTTTGGCACATGTTAATTACATTTATATAAAGTCCTATGTTTCTAATACAAGTACGTCTGAACTGCGATTCCAAATGAAAGAAAGCTGAATGTGGAATACATGTATTCAAGTTTTTTGACAATAATAAGTAATTCATCAGGATCAACAATTACTGTGTGACTATGGACTCTGAGATAAACTAGGGACTTGTGTGAGCTTTATATTCTCTTCTGTTTTGTATGGAGTTCGTTGTACTCAGTCAAGTCTTCTATATATAGAGTTTTGTAGATTGTTGTTTGTCTTTCGTCGGTTTTTCGTTTTTGCGAAGGTTTTGTCGGTTTCTCTTCGACTTCTGAATTTTGATTGTACCTTATGTGTCTTCCGCCTCTTTTTTAAAACCTAAATCTAATCCAAAATACCAGTAAATGTTTAGATAACTATAAACAACTTTAATGTTGGATGTTAACGACCGGAGTCGGTAATTATAGGTATTAATTGCTGCATATTTAAAATGACTATGAAGGAAAATCTCTTATTTATTTGTATAATTACAACTACATAGGCTAGATATTTGTTGACTGGAATCAATATTTTCCCCAGATGTTTTATCTTTTATATATGTATATATATTTGCATTTCCTTCCAGGTACTAATTCCTTTACTAATTAGTCTGAGTCTTCTTTCGGAAAACCTGTTAATGTTTTTTAAATGCAGAGATATGTTTAAAATAGTTTTGACATGTGTTTGTCTGTGATAAAATCTACAAGTTAAGTTTATGAATGAAATATTTTATCCTCAAGAAATCGACATTTTAAGATTTTTATCATCTTACTTCGCTGTAGATGTCAGGGATTTGTCCTTAGGACGCTTGTCTCTCCTAATCCGCAATCTTTTAGTTAACATTAAAAGAAAATGACATTTTTTAACAACTATTATTTTCAAAACTCTGATAATAATAAATGAAAAAAAAAACACTCTATAAATATCGTGCGTCCGAAGCACTTTTCTAGATTTACCTTCACCAGGGACGCTCAACCCCAAACATATGAAAGCCAAGGATTTATAAATAAACGAATACGTGAAGAGCTTGACTAGATGTATTGATGATTTGACATTATAAAGGTTTTTTTTTTAAATCGTTTTGTTTAAATAAGATTTTTATAGAGGAAAGAGGTCTCTAATGTATTCTAATGAGGGTAGACAACTGTATGAATTTTCTATTTGTTTATGCTATAATGGGAAATTTCTGCATTTTGATTGGCATTAGTTGTTGTCCAGTGGCAAATCTTTCATGAATATTCAAGAAGAGAACAAATTAACAATTAATGCAATAGGTATATTCTGCAAGTGGATCGAACGAGATAAAGGATGTGAATTTCGACTGTCACTGCAGAATAAGGATTTCTTGCATAATTTTGCTGAGCAATAGGCCACCTATATACACATCAAAGAGTTGTTGCAAGGTTCTTCAACGCTCAGAGAGCATGAAACATCCGTTTAAATGTCTTCATTGCGTTCGGACGTGGCCAAGTATTTAAACATGCCGCACAGTCAAACGGACGCCTACGACTAATGAAAAAAATCCTTTAATAAAGTCTAAAATAAGGAAAAAAAAATAAACGTAGGAAAGAAATCTTGACCTGCATATTTATATTTTTCGTGTATTAAGAGATATGGGGTAAACGTCAACGAAAATTAGACAGCAATCCATCAGAAGTACAGAATATCCATAAATAAAACATCTATTAGTCACCATATATGGTGTTATAGAAAGAGATGGCGTCTACTTTTGACATTCAAACCTCTCGTGACTAGAAGTCAAAAATCCTTGGGGAAATTCGAAGGTATACACGTTTCAGTCTATGCCATTTTATTCTTGGCTTTCTATCGTGTTCCTAATTGAATTAAAATAATATCAGATGAAATCTAATAGTTAAATAACCAGCCGTGAATACGTACATTAACCATTTCTAAAATTAAATTTCTAAATGGTATTAGACTATTTGAAAGTACGTTTTAATTGCAAAAAACAGTTATGGTGATATTTTTAACAATTGCTTCAAAATGTCAGGAGGCACAACAGAACGATTTTAGTTGTAATTGTAGAATTAAGTCTTCATGGAAAATCAAACACCAGTTGTATTGAACAGATATTTAAAAGTCAAATTCAATTTTTGTAATTAGGAGTTTTTCATTTGAAATAATCTAGACTTATTTGATTAACGTAATATAATTATCCAGTTTATATATAGCTCCTGTCTGTTTGGTTTTTAAAATTGATTTAAAAGGGTTTTTATTAATGTCAACTAGTGAAGGTATTAAATACAATTTGGTCCCTTTAATTCGAAAATCATGAAGATTTAAGAATCACACATCGTTCAAATAACACCATTCAAAGGTTCATAAGACACTCAGTAATGACATTTGCTTAATACAATCATAGACCCCCAGATCGACGACTACTTGCCGGGGACATCAATTTTCTATAGTAACATTCTTCTATTTTTTTTTTTATATTTATCCTTATTTTTCAGGATAAAGACAGCAAACTGACAACAGTAAACAGAATGGTTCAGAAAGCTAATGCTTCTATAGACAATCTTCTTTCCAGTAAATTATTAAGTGACAATTATAGCGCATGGTCTACTTGGTCTAAATGTAACAGAAGGTGCGAACAAACTCGTAAACGTACATGTATGCATCACAAAGTATGTGGTGATACAATCGTCAAAGACAAACAAAAGTGCATAAGAAAGACTGGTACCTGTAACTCATTATCGTACAAAGTTATAGGATACAGAAGGAGGAACCGACTGATAGAAGAACTTTTATATGACTTGTTATATGACACATGGTCTAATTGGGGAAGGTGTACTCGTGCGTGTAAACGACGCCGGAATAGGAAGTGTAAAGAATCCGATATATGCGGCAGTAGTTATATTCAAGAAGAAAAGAAATGCCGACCACGAAGGACATCTTGTAAAAAGTTAACTCTTAATCCATTTTATTCTCCATTGGATAAACCTAGACGTAAATCGGGTTTTAAAGATCGCGAGCCATCACGACCGAAAGGTAAGTAGTTGTCAAGTCAAATAGATTTTATTTTGTGCTTACAGTCGAAAACGAAAAACAGGGGAGAAGTTTGGAATTTAAATAAATTGAACATGATTAATGTGCCCTTAACTATCTTTGCTGTCAAAAGAAAAGTGATGACCAGTGTTTATTTTATCTAAAACATAATTTCCAAAGTAAGCCAATAAAGGCCAAACTATATATAGAAAATGATTAAATTCGAGCTACAGCTACCTATCATCAGAATTGAAAGTTTTTAAAAGATTAATACTATCAAGCGTAGTATATAATCCAATGTATATAAACTGTAAAAATGGGGATACATTGTAATTTATTGCTTATCCGCAATGGTTTAATCGAAAACATGTATTGGTTTGAGAACACCTTTTTATGATCCAACAACATACTATAGGTTACATGTACTAGTACTTTGGATTCGGTCCAAATAAGGACAAAAAAAAACTATGTATGTTCATGCAAAATTGATTGTTAAAGGTAAAAAAGTCGGGCATCAGTCGATTCTTAAATCAAAGAGGTTCACACCACAAGATTTTGCAAAATACCTTGAACCAAAGAAAAAAATGAAGACTGAAACAGGACAACCGCGATTCTCAGAATTAAACATCTTTTATACTAGCATTGATCCTTTATTTTATTAAACCGTTGACATGATTTTCATTTAACTCCAAGGAGAAATGTAGGCATCTGAGCATGCACTATGTTGTATCCTACATTTAAGAAGATGTAGTATGATTGCCAATGAGACAACTGTCCACCAGAGACCAAATGACATAGAAGTTAACAACTATAGGTCACTCACTGTATGGCCTTCAATATTTCTAAGAGGCATAACTCTCTCCTAAATAATCGATGGGTCTGACTTTCAAATTCATCCGAGATATTGCTAATGTAAATTTTTGACGTATAAAATTATACTTCAATGATAAATGTAAGTGCAAAAGCGCTTTCAATGAAGATATTTATAAATTTTTTATTTCCGATTGGCTACCCACAAATTATCGATCTGCGTTGATTTTCGAACTTGTCGGACATATTGCTGTAATTCACCATTGACATGAATTTCATTAAAATCGGATGAGATCTTTCTTAATCAGATCATTCCTACGGTACCTAGATAGACGGATGGAAGGATGGATGGATGGACGCGCGGACTGACAAGCAAACGGACGGAAATCAACTTTTCAATATACCCATCTCGCTTCGCGGTAGGTCAGTAAAGTTTGTAGATAAAGCATTGATGTTAACCGGCCGAGTTTCTAGTCAATTTTAAATGATGATCAAGCTTTAATCAACTGACTTTTCAAAGCCATTTTTTTCAGTGAGTGTTTGCATCTCATTTATCCCAGTGAACTTGAGATTAAGGATATCACCTTAACTAGGATTTCTGCTTCATATCTTTATCTGTAAATGATATTGACACAGATGGATGAATTCAAACTAGAATCTTTGATAAACGTGATTTTAATTTCAACTTTTCAATTGTCCACGTTCTATTTCTCAGCAGAAACAATGCTCTGCCCCTATCGTATGGCGGTTAGAATATATTGCGCTCGTACATGTTAACATTATACAGACTCCTTTAACAGGGGGTGTGTTCCTGACACAAAAGGTCTCCAACGTAAGTTTTATGGTCACCATCACGGATTGGTTGACCGATACGATGGGCTTGGATCTTTAGATAGATCTATAAATGTATCGATTGTGTCCTATTCCTGGTAGTGACATTTTACTGAGTGGATTCACATGGCAGGTGATGTATGCATAGGAACCTGATGTTCAGTGGTTGTCATTTGTTGATATGGTTCATAAGTTTTTCACGTTTTTTATATAGATTAGACCGTTGGTTTTCCTGTTTGAATGGTTTTACACTAGTCATTTTTGGGGCCCTTTATAGCTTGCTGTTCGGTGTGAGCCAAGGCTCCGTGTTGAAGGCCGTATTTTGATCTATAATGGTTTACTTTTACAAATTGTGACTTGGATGGAGAGTTGTCTCATTGGCACTCATACCAATCGTCTTATATAGATATAAGACGATGTGGTATGAGTGCCAAAGAGACGTTATATCTATATAGCAGAATGTCACGAAATAGAAGTTCCTTCATAGTATATGTTCAAAGTGGAAGAAATACTCTTTTAATATTATTTCCACTAGAACAAATATTGCAGTATTTCTTCTTTACGGAATAAAGGGTATAGAATATGTGTGCCAACATGAACAGATATTATAGCATTGTGTATAACAAAGTAGAGGAACTTTTGTTAGGCGGAACAAATATACGTTGACACCAGACGCTTACCCTGTCTCGACATTTTGAAGTTCATGCGACTCTCTCAATTTCGTTTTACCTTGATCGTATCTTTTTATATTAGATTAATGATATTTGAAAGTCGGTAAACTATTGTTGTATATCTAATCTCGTGTTTTTCTAGGTAACTGCAAAAAGTTTTTTTTTTGGGGGGGGGGATGTTTAAACAAAAGTATTAATTTCAGCTTGAATTTATGCATTTATAGCCGGGTAAAATGGCGTTTCGGCTAAATGGAAATCAAGAAGGAATATTTCGCTCCTTAAACTTTTATTTTAGCAGTCCGGCAAGACCGAACAACAAACTCCATATCAAAATGTAAAGTAACATACAAACAATAACAATATATATAAGCACAAGCAATTAAAGGATTAAGAAGATTAACATATGCCAAATAAAAATAACAATAGATTAGAAGAGTAATTAATGTCCGACACGTATAAGTAAATTATTGTCTAAACTGTTACAGAGAATAAATAATTAAATGAATAGAGTAAATGAATTTAACGGTCCTTTGTCCAAGATTATGACACATAATCCGTGTAAAACACTTATGCCTAAATTTACGACAAAGTTCAGAATAATAAAATAAATGCAAAACAAGAATATACATTAAAACAATTGAATTCATAAAAAGTTGTTTAAAAACTAATTTCATTGCACAGTCCCAATTGTCCGGTCATATATTCCCGCGGCCCTTGAAGACACGACCCGGGTCTTACTGTTCATCTGAAATTGTTCCGAAAGTTTCTTCTGTGGTTGTGGCGTCCTCTGTAACGATAGTTTTGGTTTGGATGATTATCTTCTCTTGTATTATTTCGAAAATTGTCCAATTCGTCTTCTAGTTTAGTGATTCGATCCCGCATATGTTCTTTGTCGCGTTGTAATTGGTATTGCTGGTCGATGGCTTCACATCTTTGATCGTAAATCCGAAAATTAGCTTCTTCAAGATCAGTAATGCGTTCACGTAATTTTTCCATATCTATTTTATCATCTGCACCTTGTTTTTGAAGTTTTTCTAGATTGCTAACAACACTGTTATGCTTTTGATTTAACTCTTTAAACTTCTTCTCGTAGTGTACACTTTTGATTTTAAATTTTACTCTCTCTGAATTCACTCGGTCGTGCCTGAGTCTAACGTTATCTATAAATTCCCTATTATAATCTAAGGTTGGAAAGAAGTCCATCAGTTCAATAGTATTGAGTTCCGCACAAGGAAAAATTGACATAGCTTTCTGTTCTTTGAATTTTCTCATTCTTTCTGCGTCACGACGTAACTTGGATTTCGATTTAACCTTAACAACTTTCACGTCCGGTTGTCTGTGAAAATTACACATTCTGGCGTAATGTCCAAAACTTCTGCACGTATAGCAAAATGACGTTTTTGCTATACATTGTCTAAAATGAAATTGATTGTTCACAGTCTTTCCACAAAACTTACATAGGTAGTTGTCCATATGTTGAAAATTTCTGGTCTGAAAGGTAGTTCCATGATCAGACATCTGGTATCTCCAGTCTCGGCCAAAATTTCTGGTTCTCCGCGTATCCATTTTTCTGTTTGCTGGGGTATCAGCTTCACAGGTAGAACAAGGTATCCGATAGATGCGTTGCCCGGGTCCTCCACCAGATATAGCCGGGTAAAATGGCGTTTCGGCTAAATGGAAATCAAGAAGGAATATTTCGCTCCTTAAACTTTTATTTTAGCAGTCCGGCAAGACCGAACAACAAACTCCATATCAAAATGTAAAGTAACATACAAACAATAACAATATATATAAGCACAAGCAATTAAAGGATTAAGAAGATTAACATATGCCAAATAAAAATAACAATAGATTAGAAGAGTAATTAATGTCCGACACGTATAAGTAAATTATTGTCTAAACTGTTACAGAGAATAAATAATTAAATGAATAGAGTAAATGAATTTAACGGTCCTTTGTCCAAGATTATGACACATAATCCGTGTAAAACACTTATGCCTAAATTTACGACAAAGTTCAGAATAATAAAATAAATGCAAAACAAGAATATACATTAAAACAATTGAATTCATAAAAAGTTGTTTAAAAACTAATTTCATTGCACAGTCCAAATTGTCCGGTCATACATTAATGCCATGAAATTTTGTATCACTTTAAATGAAACTTTTGAGTAGCAGATCAAGCTGTTTTCAAAAACGCGGAGAGACGCAGGAAATTTTGGAAAAAGAGGCTCTATGACTATACGTTACATACATTAAAGAATCAAAGTTTCGATCCGTATTATCCATCCATGGTTTTGCTTGCTACGCCAATCCCTTTTCTTGTCACACAATTATTTAAATAGAGCAATTCTTCGCCTTTTGATCACCAACTCACGTTTGCTATGACTAAACACCTTATTGGTAGAGGACTAAACATTTTTCCAAAAGATTTTTTTCTGACATGGATATTGAGAATTCTACTATAAAATGGATTTTTGACGAAGTCTGATATTTATTTTTTTTGCTTTGAAGAACACATTTTACTAGTATCCAAAAAATGTAGCTAAGAGTAAAACTTGATGGCGGAACAAAGATTTTAGTAGCATAGATTTTTAGGGCAATTCGTGCGACATGTTTGGTTTTTTTTTGTATATCAAAAGTTTGCACTGAAACTTGTCCCGAAACATATTAAGTGATCAATTAGCATTTA